GGCGAACCTTGCCAAGGGAATCTGAATAGTTCCTGTCTATGGATGAATTACATCATTGTGTCTAGTAAAGTTTAAAAAGTTTAAAAAGAGAGTTCAACTCATGGTCAGTTTCAGAAGCAATTCGTATGCAAGGAATGATCCTGTATTTTTATTTTTTTTAAATCAATTTTATTAAAAGTTATTTGATTGTTATGATCTGCAGAGTCCTTGAGAGTTGGGTGGCTTTTAAGTTTAATAATAATATGAACACTTAAGACCTAGACAGGTGTGAACATGAGTAAAATAGTCTTACATTTTTCTTACTTAGGAATTGATGGGACACTTTTCTGATAGCAAAATTCATGCAGAATTCCCTTCCTAAAGATCTTGACAAGTTTAAACTAATTCTTTTGGATAAAAAGGAAATCATGCCCAGGCTTCTTTGTAAAAGCAAAGTTCTGATCTGCATTTAAAAGCCTGAAAGCCACAAAATAAAATTACTTTTTAAATATAGATTTTCACATAACTATGTAAGAGTCAACTGAATTTATATACAATGCCGATTTCAAGTACGGTGCAGTTAATTCAAATTTTTTTAAAAAAAAATCAACTTGCTATTATTAGTATCTTACTCAAATAGTTTATTTTAAAAAAATATATTTCTTCCAATTCAGATCATCCCACAAATAACAATTTATAATATAAAATATGTATGCCATTAGTGAATTGAAACAAGGTTTATTGTTTACATTTTTAAACAGTGTTTTTGTATGCAAAATATGCATTTCTTAAAATATTTTGTTGTACACTCACTGTTCAGAGCAAGCACACAAGACAATATTCTTTCAGCGTGTCATGAAGTTGTAAAAATTAACCAAAATAGAAGTATATTCAAATGTGCAATCTAGGATATGCATTATTAGACCATTTTATAGGTACGTGATTTTCAGTCTGTGTCAGTGGAAACAGCCATGTGATAGGTCCAAGTAAATTGAAATTTATTGTGCGTGATCTACTGAAGCGAATTCCTAACAAGTGAGGTTTGACTGAGCCAAGGAGTCCTGCTTGGTGAATTCTACACCAATTCCAATTTTTATGAGAATAAAATACTTCCTGGTCCTCTCATTTTAAATACCCAATTTCCGTTACTGAAACAAAAACAAAATCTAGTGAAATGTATCAGTCCCTTTCTTCAAATAATAGATTCTACATTCCATTGTTATTATCATACAACACCTGTGCATATATATGCATACATTTTTTTTAAAAAAAATCCCAAAGTAGAGTTTCCATTATATTTTTTACTCTCATCGTGTTTATCATAGCATCCTGTAGTTCTATATAAAACATGCATTCGTGGGATAAATTATGGACATGGCATGAATTGAGTTTACAAATTATATTCTGTACAACATAAAAAAAAATAGATTAAGTGCCTCCGTGGCGCCTTTTCCTTCCACAAATTCTCAAAACACACAAAACTGAGATTATTTTCCTGTTGCTAAAGCCATGTGCTTAGAGAATAGGACCGAAAGGTTTAAAATACATCTACAGTATTTTTTTCAGTTATTGTAGAATTCCTTAAACATTGTGCGATGAAAATGTAAAAATAGTTATATTTTTCCAGAAATAAAACACACAGCTTAGGATAGTATGCAAAAAAAAGTGAAAACCTCAGCAACTTAATAAGGAGAATACAAAGTCTCTGACTAATACTGAGAATTGAACAAAGAACTGATTTCAAAATACCTATGCATGAAAGTTATATATTAGTTCTAATACTACCAGTTCATTGTTTCTGGAAGCAATGTTTAGCTGAGTCCCCCCCTCCCTTCTCAAACCTAATAGGTACACATTCATATAGACTTGACATTGATATAAACTATTACATGTAAACATAGTGCACTATTATTCTGCCACAAAGCAAAATTGCATTTAAGAGCTGGTAAACCTTTGCATTCTTTTATCTCTTAAATATCAGGAATGAGCATAAACTTTAAGGAGACAAAATTAATTTAAGGCATTCACAAACTGATAAAACAAGACTTGGGACTTGCTTGTTAGGTAAAAAGTAACACACCTGGGGGCTTTTTCATTATATTTAACTGCTGAGTGCAGACATGCTGAATAAACAATGAATGAATGGTATAAATGTCAACAATTATGGCTTTATACAAGTGCATAGTTGCAAACTGTATTAATGGAATATGGATAAATGTATAAAAATAAAATGGAAAAAAAAATTTAAAAAACACTTTTTGCAGCATTACAATACAATGTTATTTATTTAAACACCAAAAATACATACAACACACAGTATAATGGTCACTTTTTAAGATGCAGTCTTCATCCATCTGATAGGACCCTGCCATTTCATTCCTTTCTTTTGGCAAAGTTGCTGGTAGCGTTCCTCTCCAGAAGCTGGAACAAGGATGGGTTCTTCACGACGCCTCGTCATTTTTTGTCCCCCGTTGAAGTCTTTGTGGAAAGAGCTTCAAGAGAATCTTTCCCTCCCCCCCACCCCTTCCCCCCAAACATTTTAAATATATTTTCATTTCAAGAAGTCCGCAAAGTGAGCCGTTCTTGCTCGGGAGGCATTTCGTTGTTTTTGGCTGCATAGGAGTGTCGTTTACCCGAAGACGCTGGTTTTCACGTACAAAGATGGTGATGGGAACACATTTGGAGAAAGGAGTAAGCCAGGACTTCTAGACTTTTCATGGAAGTCGGGATTTATAGATCTTTCTCGTAGGAGGGAAGCCGGCAAAAGGGATAGGTGAAAGCGGGGAGAGGGGCGGAGGGGGAGACAGTGAAGAACAGACAGCAAACATCACAGTAGCTCAGGCACAATATAGCAACAAAAGAGAGCAGATAATAAAACCCAAAGCTCTGATTTTTTTTATTAAGCATATTTGGAAAACAAAAAGAACCTGGAAGCTGCTCCTCTTTGGCCAGATGGAATATACTGACCTTGGCACCCAAGGTTGCTATCCAAAGCGCACTTGATGTCTCCCCTCCTGAGTGGTTCTTGAGGTTTTCTTTTCTTACCATTCCTGGCCTTGAGGGCAGAAGCTTGCAGGGCACGATGATCGGAGAAGGTCGAGGCCCACGGCTTGGGCAGAGGGCACCTAGCTGAGGGCCTTCCAATGGATGGAAGTCTCTTCCTTGCTTTGACCTCCGAAAAGAAGGGGATACCAGGCACTGCCGGAGGCACGGGGGAGGCGCGGTGCAGTGCAGTTAACAGTGGCGAAAGGGATTTCTTCATATTTGGTGGACACAAGAGAATCTTTGTAATGCAAGTACTCGTTGAGTTACGACTGCAGCTGGGAGGGGAGTTGTGAGACGTGATAAAAGCACGATGCCACCTGATTGCTTGGCGATGACCATAATCGCTAAGTCCTGCTTGTCCCTAGTAGTAGATAGCCCAAAACGCAGTAAGTGGGAAGCAGAGGCAGCCCCAGGTAAGGCGCACAGGGGTGCTGTGGGGTGGAAGCCCTGAGTAACCCAGAGTAGGGCCACATGTGAGTTGGGGGTGGGGTGCTCTGTGGGGTGCACGCTCAGAAGGCCCGGGAACAAGGGTGGAAGTATATGCAATCACAGGGAAGGAAACAGGGAAACGGGGCACAGGGAGGCGGTGCACGTGGGTGCACATGTACAAACTCAGGGAGGCCTTAGAAAATGGGTGCAGGGTGCACCTTTCCTTAGCCTCCCTGTGATTGCATGCAGCCTGCGCCCCTTTTCACGGCCTTCCTCTGATCACATGCACTCCACCCCCACCCCCTACCCACCTGACTCCTGCGCCGGGCGTCCCCCCCCTGCAGCATATCCCCCATTCCTTTCCTGGGCCTCCTTCTGCTTACCATGACTCTTGGGCTGCCTGATGTCAGCGGCAGTCATAACTCAAGGTACGATGTTTCAGTCTTATTTCAGAGGGATGAAGATCACCTCGAAAACATGCATTCCCAGAAGGCGGTTAGCTGAAAAAAAAAGAAAGAAAAGACGTCAGTCAGTTGACATATAATAAATTCAAACCCACACTCTAAGGAAATAGAGATAGACAACGAGGCAATGCTTGATCTCTCAGCCAGTCAGGTTCATATTAGCAAAGCAAAAGATTTCTCTTTGTCTGTGTATTTATCTTAAAGATAAAAGGTTCCCCTCGCACATATGTGCTAGTCGTTCCGATTCTAGGACGCAGTGCTCATCTCTGTTTCAAAGCCGAAGAGCCAGCGCTGTCCGAAAACGTCTCCGTGGTCATGTGGCCGGCATGACTAAGCACCAAAGGTGCACGGAACGCTGTTACCTTCCCACCAA